ATATATATATATATATATATATATATATATATAAATGAATAAAAAACTTATCATTTTGCACCAATTAAGTCTACTGATGGATTATTAATGCAGCGATATTAAACAAGAAGATAAGATAAAAAGAACTATTAAATTAAAAACTTTGTTTTTACATAGACATTCATTACAATTTGCTAAAGAATCTCACATCTTGCTAAAGCATTTCACGTTTTATCCGAGGCTTCAAGAAGTCAGTAATGTATAGTGTACAGAATAAAACTATAATTATTACTGGAGCAGCTGAAGGATGAGGCTATTGGTGCAAAGAGTGTTACTGTGATCGACCTGTCAACATCGAACGGCCAGAATGCGTTGGCTACTTTGGAAAACGAATTTGGAAAAGGTCGTGCTATCTTCATTACGTCCCAGCAAATGAGAATGGATTAAAATAAATTGAAATTTTTTCTATCCGAATGCGTATTTTAAATAGCGAATACTTTTTTTGAATTTAATTGGATTCAATTAGATTTAATTGGATGCAATTGGATTGAAAAACTATATTTCCAAAATTTTGCATTAAACAATATTCATAATTGTGTTTGTGTGCACAGAAAAAACTAATATTATTTTTAGATTGAAAGGCATAGAGATATGCTCCATGCAATTCTTATGAATGACATTCAGAATTAAAAAGCATTCATTTTAATATTCATGAATCAATATTTCTGAAAATCTGAATCCATTTCAATTCATTTCAATCCATTCTCGTTTGCTGGGGTGAGACGTGACGAAGGCTGACGATTTAGAGAAAACATTCAGGAAAATCATCGACGCATTCAAAGAATTGATATTCTTATCAACAACGCCGGTATATTTAACGATAACTTGGGAGAAAACGATCGATCTTAATGTTAAGACACTAATTCGCGGCTCTATGTTGGCACTTGATATGAGAAAGCATAAAGGTGATAAAGGAGATGTAATTATATAAACATTGCATCTCCTTTACTACCTTTATGCTTTTTTTTATTGCTAGATTGACACCAACTTGATTTGTTTCAATGTATTGTGCTTCGAAATACGCCGTTCTGGGATTCAGCCAGTCTTTGGCAAGTACGTATGACAAGACTGGAGCGCGAATGGTTATTATGTGTCCAGGTGTTACAGCAACACCGTTGGTCACAAGCATCAGTGATAAGATCTGTAACTCCGTTCGCGCTGTGTTAGGAAGTGATGCTGTTAATTTAGATAAATATCGAAAACAAACAGTAGACAATGTGTCACTCGCGAGCTTAGATCTCATTCAGAAGGATAAAAATGGAGCGATTTGGATCAGCGAACGTGATCAACCGTCATACGCCGTGGATTTTCTCCATTATTCTAAGCAATCTTTGCCTGTATAAATTATTATTTGATAACTTACTTTATGTTGTTTTGGTCAATTTACACGAAGATTATCAGATTAATTATGAAATTATGTCCATTTTTAAGTAAACAATGTTATTATGATTGAATTCATCACATATTTATAATAATTAATACAATAATACTTAATGTTAATATAACAATGTTCTCATTTTCTGTCTTAAAATTTAATCTTAATTTTTAGACAGCATCGAAATTTTTAAATCCAAAATCATGCATAGTTCCCTCATAAAACCCTATAATAATTCATATATGTACAATATGTCTATACTGAAATAAAATTTGTTCAACTGACTAAATACATTTGCACAAATTTGCAATAAATTTTATTTAATTGAACCGTTTTATTTAACCGTAGTCTACTTAACATTGAACAATTTTTTAAGCAGACTATGGTTGAATTCAATTAAATAAAATTTGTTGAATTAATCAAATCTGCAAACAACTAAATATGTTTAGTTAGTTGAGCAAATTTTTTTTTCAGTGTAATGTACATTGTTTGACATATACGAGTCATCACGTATATATAATCACCATATGGCACACATACTGGCAATTTATAGAAATTAAGATAAGTTAAAGAATTATTTCATATAAGATAAACACATTAATCAGAGAGAAAATTTAAAAAGATACAGTACATATTCAGAGTCATTCAAATAAATAACTTTTTAAACATCATATTCATAAAACTTTTTATTTAAATATTTTTTTATTTAAGCAAGTGTGATCTTATATTTGTAATCAGCGATTCATAATAATTTTTATCTTTCGTATTAAATATTTTATCTTTTGTACATATATTATTATTTTATTTATAGATAATAAAAAAGAGACTGCCCTTAGAATCACTAATGAACAAAAATAGGACGAAATAGCAAAATATTTTTTCTACATTTACGTCAAATTTGAACAAAAGTGGAGTGCATTCATTTAAATTTAGAGGCTTAAATTTACAGCGATACAAGATCATAAGATTCAGGACACATTTTTCTTCAGTAAAAATTTAGTAGTCCTTATTTGCTAATTTTCTGCTAAAGTACGAAATGTTTTGCTCAAACTATTTAGCATGAAACTGCTAATTTAAAAACGAGGGTAGGAGGGAGAGGGGGAGGGAGAGCAACTTACACATTAAGCTGGACACTCCCATACTAAAAAAAATATAAATATCACAAAATCAAGTATACCAAATTTTTTGCTTTTTAATTACTCCAAAAGCAAAAACATTTGTAAAATGCAACATTTTTAAAGAAATGCCATTATACATAACGTGCTCAGCACTACATATTCGTATTTGATAAATACTTACATTCATTGCTCACATAATTGTATACATAAAATAATAAAATAATAAAATAGGTACATAAAATAATTCTTATAAGTAATATACTATCATAATGTAATAAAATAATGTTCTATTTAATTGCTAACTGCAACACGAAAAATAAATAATTTATCTTAACCACTTCAACGCTTAAATTTTCTTTCTATTTTCAAAGAATTATTTGCCCGTATTTGATAAAATAATCGACAGGCAATGTACTACCAAAGTGTAGCAAAATTCAATTTTTTTTGCTATAATTACAAATATATACGAGCAAATAATTCTTTGAAGATTAAGCGGGATAAACTCTATATTTCTTACGTATACTTGATTTTTAATTTTTTTTTTTTCCCCAATATGAGACATCTTATGAGGAGCTTATAGGAAGCTGCCTCCTCCCCTATTTTTAATGTGATTTCCTACTAAACAGTTTGAGCAACAAAATTTGACTTTATTAAAGAAAAAATAGCAAATAAAGGGCACTAAATTTTTTTACCAGTTTCGAATTTGATTTGCGATAATGAAGCTAGGTTAATAGGGGTAGTACTTACACTGAAACTCTCTGTCGACTATATAAAATTTTCATCGCAACCTAAGTCTTTAAATTTCGCACTATAGATTTTTACATTGTTCCAGACTGTATAAAAATCTGAAAAAATTCTTACACACTTATGAAAGATTTAATAATAAGTTTTTACTATTATATAAGATTGTTTTATTAATTTTTTACAGATTTTAATTTATTTATCAGAAATCAATAAAAAAATCGATTGTGTCTTTAAAATCCAACATTGTCAACAGTTAATATTGTTATTTATATTAGGTGTTGGAATTAATTCGTAGCGTTTTACAAGTGATGGGAAGTACTTTCATTAATGTATTTTTTAATGCTCATGTGAAATAAATAACATTCTTTCATTAAAAAACGCTACGAATTAATTCCAACACCTAATAACTTACATGTAATATATACGTACACATTTGAATTTCAAAATTATAGCTGTAACAATTTTATATTTATCATTAAGATAAACTGTTTTTTTTTAAATAAGAAATGATAAGTTTCCTATATCAATAAGTCCGCAGTTGTTGAATATGTGATAAAATTGATAAAAATGAATATTAAACGGCATGAGCGTTATTTAAAGAGACAGTATCAATTATAGTTCGTTAAAGATTCACATTTCGCAGAAGTATCACATCTCATAGAAGGTTTCAAGAAATTAGAATAATGTATAACGTAAAGAATAAAACTGTGATGATCACTGGAGCAGCTAGCGGATTAGGCTACAAGTATGCCGAAATACTATTACGTAATGGTGTAAGAAGTGTCGCCGTGATCGATCTACCAACATCAAACGGCCAAAATGCGGTATCTACTTTGGAAAACGAATTTGGGAAGGGCCGTGCCATTTTCGTTGCCTGCGATGTGACAAAGATTGATGATTTAGAGAAAACGTTCAAGAAGATCGTCGACACATTCGAAGGGCTTGATATTCTTATTAACAACGCTGGTATGTTGAACGATAAATGTTTAGAGGAAACGATCGATCTCAATGTCAAGGCACTAATTCGCGGTTCTATGTTGGCCTTCGATTATATGGGAAAGCATAAAGGTGGTAA